TCGTATGAGTGCAATGGAGATCCAAAGAGTATTATGACTGGATTTTGAAGAGCTGGGTTTGGTATTTAGGGTTGTCATCCATAGAAGTTCAAGGTTCCAGTATTTGCAAAGTATGATGGGGTTTATTATCCAAAGCTTTATCTCCGTTCTTATGTGAGGAAGATTAAGCCTCACACTGCTGATAGGAACTTGTGGGTCCACTTCTTTCAAGACAGTCTGTCCGGGACTCAGCTTGAGTGGTTCTATCAGCTGGAGGGAATCAATGTCCGCAACTAGGAAGATCTGGCTATTGCTTTTTATAAGCAGTATCAATATAACACTGACCTTTCTCCTACCCGTACTCAACTCAAGAGCATGTCTATGGGTGTAAGCGAAGGTTTTAAGGACTACGCTCAGAAGTGGAGAGATTTGGCAGGGAGAGTCCAACCCCCTTTGTGTGATAGGGAGTTGGTGGACATGTTTCTTGGTACGCTATCTGGTCCGTTCTTTAATCACTTGATTGGTAGTTCCTCCGCTGGTTTTACTGAGTTGATATTGATTGGAGAAAGGGTAGAAGCTGGGATCCGAAGTGGCAAGATCCAGAATGACACCTCTTCAAGTATAGTGAGAAAGCCATTCATGGGTAAGAAGGAGGTCAATGCTATTTACAATCCAATAAGTCAGAATAGAACCGAGCACCATCCAACGGTAGGGGCTGTGATGATACCTAGACCTGTTGCTACTCAACAACAAAACAATCAGCCAAGGGTAGAATGACCTCAAAGGCAGTTCACCCGGATCAATATGGCGTTGTCTGAGGTTTTACCGCATCTGTTAAAATCTAATTTGGCAACCTTAAGGGAGGCTCCCAAGAATCCCAACACCACATCTCCTCTCTACAATCCAAATGCTCGGTGTGCTTACCATTCTGAGAGTCCAGGCCATGATGAAAACGACTGTTGGGCTCTGAAGAATAAGATACAAGATCTGATCGAAGCAAAGGAGATTGAGTTTGATGCTCCTGAGATGCCGAATGTCATAACTTCTCCTATGCCCAAGCACAACCATGGTGTTAATGTCGTTGATACTGATCTATTTGTTACTTCTGTTGATGAAGTTTCTACTCCTCTCATGACCGTTAAGAAGAATTTGATGCTAGCCAGTTTATTTTCGGGCTGTAGTGAAGGTTGCCACATGTGTTTATCTCTTCCTTCTGGTTGTTATTTGCTAAAAGCAGGTGTTCAACGCATGATGGATAACAAAGAGATTTTGTTCAAAAAGACTTTGTTTCCAACTGTTCTACATGAAGATGTTGCTATCATAACCATTTTCGCCAATCCTTCCAAGGTCTCCTCCAAAAGACCTATTAGGATTTCACCTGCTCCAAGAATTGCTCCATTAATAATCACTTTTCCTGGCCCTGTACCATACTCCTCTCATCACCATCAGGTCTAGTTAAGCATTCTTGACCAAATGATCCAACAAAAGATCTTTTCTCGGAGGTCAATTGAGTTGACTGAAGGTCTACTGAAGCACACCATAGCGCATGTGCTCCTAGGCCTTGGTTTTGAATAATGAAAATTTTAATGTTTAGTTGGTTTTGAACTAAGGGCACTATGGTCATTAAGGTATAGTTGGAGGACATCTTAGTCAATTTACCAATTAAATGAAAATTAGGGGTTTGTTTGGCTATAACCCATTTCATTATTGGAAACAAAATCTGATTTTGTAGAGAGAAGAGAAGGAAAACCTAGGAAAGAGAGTAAGAAGAGAAAGACCATTTTTTTCAAGACCTAATCTCTTGCATGTACATCAAGCTCATCTCCTCCACCATTCTTTTCTGATTTTCGCAGCTTTTCATCATCCTCGTCAAGGTGAGTCTCATAGATAAATACTTTTGGGTGTTTATGGGATTAACATGCTTTTGGGGTCAGGGGTTTTGAGAGTAAATGCTTTAATAATTATTTTTTATGCATGTTTGAGACTATATTCCAGTATTAGTTTGTATGTATGTGATTCTCATGGTTTGTTATTGAGTCAATGCTAGATGCATGTGGAAATCTTGGGATTTTGGAGTCCCAATTTCAGTTCTACGTTTTCTGATTTTTCTCAACGGCGTGTAGTTTGCTTATCGAATTATAGTTTGCTTAACCATATTCTGAAGATGACAAGAAGTTGTGTGTTATAGTTGGTATTAGAGCAGGTCGATTCTCGGATTTGCCATGAAACATCATAAGTCAGCTCAATTATGCCTCTTATGTGTAATTGTCGGTATGATTCCTTATGTCTTACGTATAACATTGAGCCTTATCAACTTAATTTTATGTGTAGGATAAACAGGAAGATGGATGATGAACACAGAGGTCGCGGAAGGCCTAGGACTAGGAATTTTGAGCCTATGGATGAAACTGAAAATATGAATATGCCCTGGCTGCAGATGATGCAACAACAAAACCAAATGATGATGTAGATGATGTAGGGTATGCAAGGGCAACAACTAGCCACTCTTGCTCATACTCCACAAGCTGTAGCAGGACCATACTTTTATGCTTTATTCAGGATGAAACCTCTAGAGTTATTGGGTGGCTTAGATCCCGTGGCTGCTCATGATTGGATGTATGGCACGGAGAGGGTATTCCAGGGCATTCAGTGTAGTGAGAAAGATAAGGTGATGTTTTCTGCTCAGCTGTTGAAGGGTCCAGCTGGTAGGTAGTGGGATATTGCATCTACCTATTTTACCTCCCAGATGATTTCGAAAGATTGGAAACACTTTAAGATAGCTTTCTTGGAGAAGTACTAACCTAAAAACTTGCGTGCTCAAAAGGAACATGAGTCTCAGTTGAAACAACCAGCTGAAAATCATAAAACAATGAAGTTGCCATTGAACGTCTTTTATCCCACATAAAGGGAAAGGTAAACATCGATAAAACCTAAGAAGGGAGAAGTCACGGTCTTATGACCGAGAGATCGGGTAAGGGAGTCTGTTACGCAAGGGGAAGGTATTAACACCCCACACGCCCGTAGTACTCTACGGTATCCATTCTTGTTATCTATCTTATGGGTGTGTTTAATCTATGCTTACTATTTACTACTGGTAAAGGAAGAATGCATGCGAAAGAAAGGATAAAAGAATGTAGGGAAAATAAAATTGTACTCGCTTGGGCCCTACCCTAATGCCTACGTATCCTTTTTGAGGAATCAGAGCTACCGTAGTTCGGCTCACATGTTTTTGTTTGTTTTTGTTTTTTATGAACAATGTTAATTCCGCCTTCTGCCGCAGCACGACCTTTGGAGACTTATGTGTTGGCACAAAAGCAAACTAATCATGTCCTTTCCTGAAAAGGGTTTTAAAGAAAAAGTGCTCGAGCGCAGAAAAAGGTTTGAGTTGGTTTATATTTTTGTTACCTTGAAAAAGGGTATAGTGTGATTAACATGTTTTATGATTTGCTGAGAAAAGAAGTTTTAGTTTTAAATGCATATGCAAAAGGGAAGAAAAGAGTCTAAGGGAGACTAGCCTATTTCTAACCTAATGTTATCATACAATGGTAGCCCTATGTCAAGGATGAAATAAGGATCTCTACCTAATTTTAGCATGCATGGTTTGCAATCTAAGGTCTAACTTGCGTCCGGAGGGAGCAAGCACGTCCTAAGGAAACATGGTATGTACAAGGATACAACAAAAAATCTAATAAGCTCAAGAGAGCACGCCTAGAGATATCCTATCTAAGTTAGCATGCCAAAGAAAGTCTAACAAAACTATCCTATAGGGAACATGCAATGAGAGCGAAGTCATGATCTCAATTTCTAAATTGAGTGACTCATCGATCAAAAAGAAATAAAGGAAAGCGATAAAGTCCTATAGGGAGAATGCACCGAGAGTGAAGTCTTGATCTCAATTCCTAAATTGAGTGACTCATTGATCAACAACTAAAGAAACAAACACAAGCACAACACATATGGAAAATGAAGTGCAGAATGCTTGCTACAGGTCTTTAAATAGCAACTTCGAGCACATGATCTTTATTTCCTACTTCTCATGGTATCTAAAAAAGCGATAAAACCCCTACTTCTCATGATTTCTAAAAAAGGCAGTAAATAAATGTAGTAAAGTGCGAAGAAGTACAAAGGTAGTAGCGGCGACTACCAAAGCGAGCAAATCGTCAAGAGTGGAAGAAAGCAATGGAGAAGTAGGGAGTACGCGTCGAGCAAGCTTCACCAAGAAACAAACAAAGTCAGAAATAATATCCAACTAAGATAAAGGCAAACGCGTGTTGCGAATGCAACGCGTAATCAGAAGTTCAAGCACAAGATGTCATGAAGTATCACATGTATTAGAACAACATATAATACGATATGAATTTTTCAAGACGATGAGGAATAAGGCGTGTCGCATCAGAAGCGAGCATAAGCCGTATGTTTCGATCATATAACTATCCGTTATGTTACATGAATGAAAGCATAAAAAATGTACCTTGCATAATGAAAAACGCGTCAAAATATAACATGGCAAAGCGGCAAGAAAATGCGGATAAAAAAACTAAAGGAAAAAAAGTAATTTTTTATTTGTTTTTTATATGAAGAAAAATTCCATCAAAAATTAAAGAATTAATTTCTAAAATTGACTAAAGAGTTCTAACAAGTCTTATTGACTTTTACAATTTTATCATAACAAAAATATAGAATAAAAGACATCCTAAAACAATTAGAAAGAGTCAGGGGGTAAAGTCCTGAAACTGAAGCTATAATGCAGTAAACTGCTCAAGGTGCAAGGCCCACTTCAAAAAGTCTGGAAACTATTTTTGTATATCTTTATTTATATAAAAAAACGAATATAGGCCTTGGTAATTTGGCCCATGTTCGAAGCAGTCCAACAAGCATTTTGTTCAATTACCTACATTTGCCAAAAAAATTCTTAATGGTCCCAAAGGAAGAGTGGCCCGGTCCAATAAGTTCACCTCCTCTCTTATTTCCAGAAGATCAATTTTCATGATTAAAACAAGAATAAAAAAATTTGTAAAAATAGTACATTCTGTTTTTGACGTTTCAGCTTTCACTCTCCTTCCTCAAAATGTCAGCGATTTCCGATCAAGAGATCCACCGCGCCGGAGACCTAAACGCACTCCAATCTCCATCAACCAATGCATTCCCGCCTCCCTCTATTATCCTCCCATTCTACTTCTCATCGCCTCTAAACCTCCAATGAAACTTTCTTTTCCAATCTCCACTGACTTCCACTGTCACTGACTCTCAATCTCTCTCCATCAATTCGAACCCGTCCACTCCACCACCGTCAAATTTCGATCTACTTCCATCTGTTCTCAAACACCTATGTCTCTTCCTACTCTATACGAAAATCAAACCTCTCTGCTCTGATTTTTCAAATCTCTCCCCAAACCGGTATCCTAAATTGCAGAAATGAAACTGTATCGCATACGTTATAGATTCATATGCTTCAAGCTACACCAGAAACAAAATTCAAAACAATTACCTCCCGGAGTCATTCTGGCGCCACTTCAAGTGTAGCGAATGTAACGAGAAATATAGAGACTCAAAAATTTAGGTAGCTTCGTTCTATTACTCCTGCATTTTCTGTTTTCTTCTTATTCTGATTTCTATTTCTGTGTTTGTCATCGTTACTGTAGATGGCGTATCTCTCTATTATGGATTTGATGCAGAGAAGTGATATGGAAAAGATAATGCAGTGTTGTTAATGCAGAGGTCAATGAGAGTATGTGTTGAAAGTTGTGGACGATGAAGATGCGCAGAGATCTGATAAAAATTGATGATGAATTTGCAATTGATCTGGTGTGTGATGAAGGGTTCTGAAGATTTTAGAGAGAGAAAGAATTGAGAATGAAAGTGAGAGGAACAAAGAGAAGTTTGCATGATTCTTCTGTAGAATGAAGAAAAAAATCCAGAATGAAAGAGGTGAGTTCTGTTCTTATATTCTGTTAGATTGGAAATAGTTAGTTAGAGCTGAATCAAATCTGAGCCATAGAATTTGAAATTTCTGTTATAGAATCGATGGTTAGGATTAATCTAAAATGAGGCTTTGTTAGCAAGTTTTACTGAGCTGTCTTTTTTACTGAGTTAATTTCTCACGATTTTATTCTCTGCCCCAATATTTTCCTGTTTTTTGATGTAAATCGCCTGTTGGACTGAGTGAGCTGTGGTTGTAAAATTGATCTCAGTATTTTCCTTCTGATTTACTGCTATTTTGCCCACGATTTTTTCAATTAGAATACTCTGTTATAAAACTTGTTGAATCTGGTATTGAAATGAGCTAGCAATTCTTTTTCTCCTCATTTTTCTTTTCTGCCTCCCTAACTTTCTGATTTTTCTGTTGTAGTCTTTTATGATTTTCTATATGCTGAGCTGGAAATTGACGCAAGGTCACGGTTTATCTTGTGATGTAAGTCAGTTTTGTTTGAGCACATGGCTTGTCTGATTTTGTTTTCTGGATAACTGGTTTACTTGTGATACTCATATGATGAATTTTCTGGTTATGCAGGTTTGGATAATTGATTTTGTTTGGATTACAACTTTCCTGATTTTTTGACTTAACCGTTTCTCTGCGATTTCTCTACTATGGATTTGATTCTGACTTTGAAATGCTGCAGACTGTATTGGATTTCTAACTGGTTTTTTCTATTAAATGCAGGCTATATTTTTTAATTTATTGGCAAAATATCTTCCACGGTAACTGGAGGAAAAGTAGAGATTATTGCTTTCTGATCAGCAAGAAATAAGGTTTCAAGGATTAATCTATATGCCATGATACTCGCACACCGCATAACACATTTGATTCTCTTTAGCTCAGCACTGTGTACTCCTTCCAACAAAATTGCACATCCCAAACGTGTAGGAAATCCTTCAATGAACATCAACATCTCGGAGTATCATGAAATTGTTCCTCTTGTTCAGCAGCTTGTTGCTTTGGCTTTGAAAAAAAGCAGCTTGTAGTGTAACTTTGTAGTGATATTCCTTGTGAACTTGCAAACTAGCAAACTAGTAAACTTGTAAACTTGTAAACTTACATCTTTTGCAATTCAAACTTTTTTTTGCCATAGTTCCTTGCTTGAATCATATTCTTGACATCATGAATACACATGATCTTGAACAAATTAATTTGATGTACCAAGTAAACAACAATGAATCCCTAATTCAATTCAATTCCTCAATCTAAAGCAAACTCGTGTGTCAAGCAACAAGCATTTGAAATAATGACGCCCTGAGCATAATGGACCTTCAAACTCAACACCTTGTGTCATGGTTCAACAGTGGTCTTAATACATCAATAAAGCCTTGAGGAAATCTGGAGAATGAATATGGGAATATAGGAGATATCCTTGACTTGAAAATCCAATGATCCTCAGTTGAATATTAAGAGACGAAAAGCCTAATTCTTAAGCCTTGAAGAAAGATTGCAAGTTGATGTCGAGAAAAAAGAATACCCCATGTAGTTTGACGATAAAGTAGTCCAGGAAATAAAACCCTAGCTTCATACAAATGATTGTTGGAGAAATCAACTGAAACAAGCTTGTGCAAGATGAGAGCCTTAAGGCCATACAACAATCCTAATTCCTCGAAATCCACGATCCCATGCCATAAATTTATTGATTAATGATGCATGGCATGCAAAATGACCTAATGGAAGTTATGTACATGAGAAAAGTGTGAGATGCATAAGTCTAATAAAAGCAAAAGGGTAGGAAAAATTTGGGGTATTACAGTTGCCCCTATTTAATCATCTTAAACCTAAAAGTACAATTGGCGCGTGCCTTTCGGAAGTTCGAGGTAGAAGATGATTAAATATCAATGCCAAAAATTTGTTCTGAAAGATGGTGGTAATGAGTATTATTTTTGCAACATCCACTGGGGAATTAAAAGAGTGGGACTAAACCGGAGGTATACGTCGATCAAGACACGACGATTAAGAGGAATACATCAACTAGGACATGATGATTCACATGAGAGGTATTGTGACACGGTGGGAGAACTGACTTGGGTGTTTTTCGTTTTATCGCAAATGTTGCGGTTGAGCAAGAGTCGCCACTGACTTTTCTTTTATCCAATAAGGAAAGGTGAAAAAGCATAGGAAAGACCTTTCGAGATGTTTTCTTAAGTTCGGGGGATAGATTATGAAAAGGGAAGGTATTAGCACCCTTTTCATCCATGGTTTTCCATGGGCTCTTAGTTGCTTTCTAGATCACTTGCTTTTGTTTGAAAAATGTGCTTTGTGTGGTTTTTGAAAGTATTTTGAAAATGTGTCATCGTTTAGGCAAACTTTGTAATAGTTCTCGTTCGTAAGAACGTATACAAGATGCTGAGCTTTTGAAAATATTTCACGTTTGGAAAGTGTTTTGAAATTGATTTTGAAAAGGTGTTTTCTTTGTAATGGCTCTTGTTTCTATAAGAACGTGTACAAAGTGTTTGTCTTTTAAAAATGTTTCAAGATGAAAGTGTTGGTGTGAAAAGTGTTTTTTGTTATGAGCAAGCGAGTAACTGAGAGAGAACCTACCCACTCAAAAGGTCTTAGATGTGCTTTTCCTCCTCCTTTAGATGTTGCTATCTTACCATTGATTTGGTAAAAAGCCCCATCGTTGGATATGAAGGGACGGGCGTTGGGTCATCGTATGACCATGATAGCAATGTTGTGAGATGACTTAACATTTTTCTTTAGGGACTAAGATCATTTCGAAAGGCAACTTTGATAGCGTCATCGAGGGACTATGATCTTGTATTTCGATTATTTTTGCTAAGACACCCCACATGCATAACATGACCATTTTTTTAGGCAACAAGTGGAGTTAACCTTAAGGGTGCTAGTGTGCAAGTGTGTTAGTTTGCATGTATTTTGTCTTGTATTTGAAAGTAATCTATTTGTTGGTTTTTATCTTACCATACATCCTATTTACTAGCAATATATTTTAAAGCGGTAAAAGTGCAGAAAGTAAATATCCTACGCTATTACAATCATTAGGGGGATGTGGATACATATTTATGAATGGGGGTTGCAAATAAAATTAAATCCTAAGTTACTATTACAACCATATTGAAATGTACAATATAAGAAAGAAAAAGGACTTGTTTAGAAAATGGTTTTTTTAGTCTTAAGTTAATTCAATAATAAAAGAAAATATTTTTATGTCTTTTTATTTTAATAAAAAAAGGGTTAATATAAAAAATGATAAAAAGGAAAATAAGTGAAAGAGTTGAAAAAAAAGCATGTTGTTGCGAGCGAAACCACAGGGATCAGAAGTTCTGGAGTTAGGAGCATTATGACTCAACAGGAAACGTCAACGGGCATCCGAAGTTCTGAGTTGGTAAACTCTGAGGTCCTGCAAGAAACGTTAGAGGGAAAACACAGAAATTCTGGGTGGTATTCAGACAGTGAGCCAAAAGTCAGAAGTTATGTGCTATGCTAAAAACAGTGAATAAACATCAGCAGTTTAGTGCATTATCAGCATGTAAGAATCAAAAGTTCTAGGTGTTAAAGCAGTGAAGAGAACTCAGAAATTCTGTGTGCCTAAACAACGAGAAAATCCTAGAAGTTCTAGGTGAGTGAAAAACAGAAGTTCTGTGTTACATTTCAACTCTTTCCTTACATCAATCAGCACAATGATAAGTTATTCAGTTTTCAGCAAACAACAAATCAGAAGGATAAAAGCACAACAGTTTATGGAAGTTCTGATCCTGATCCTGAGTCTAGCCATGATCAGAAAGTTTTGATCCTGAGACTTTCTACTTACGCAGTGGTATGTACAACATTATTACTATGATATTTACATGTTTAATGATGTTCTGAGTGAGAAGATGCAAAGTCAGGGAGAATTACCTTGAACATGGAGTGTGTGTCTGGGACTTGAGCTGCTTCCTTCAGATGTTCTGGAGTCAGCAAGAGCAACGAAGGAGGAAATGCCAAATTCTTTTACTTCAAGGGAAGAACATGCTTAGGAATTATGGATTTTTTATGGAAATATCACAACTTTCTTTTCTCTCTTTTTGACGATTCTCTCTCTAAAAGCCAGCCCCTTGCAAGTGTGATGGAGCAACTTATTTATAGATGAATTTATTGTTGTTTTTGGGGGGAAAATATGGGATTTGAACTTTTGGCACACTGTTCCATTGCTTTTTGATTACAACTTTTTGTATTTGGTGCAAACATAAGATTTGGCAAAATACAGGCGTGGACTGGATTAACTGCTGGTTAGAGTACTGTACTGTAGCAGTGCAGCAGGTTGTTTAAACGAGGTCTTGGGATTTGGTGATGTTCTGATTGCATAAGATCAGAAACGTAACCTCCAAATGTTGAAGGGGAATCTTCTGACCAAAGCATTGAACATAGCCTCCATATGTTGAAGAATTATGTTCTGGCTGAAACATCATGTTCTGACCAAAGAGCAACGCTCCTGCATGTTTTGATTGAAGCGTCATGTTCTAACCAAAGAGCAGTGCTTATGCATGTTCTGATTGAAGCGTCATGTTCTGGACCGTGTTTACAACTTCTGACTACACTTGCATACAGGCTAGCTCAGAAGTTCCGAGGTATCACATACTCTTAACACTTAGAAAATTTTCTAAATGTTTAGAAAATTTGATTTTTCCAAAGTAACTTCTGCCTCCTGATTTTTTGATGAATCAATCTCATGTCTTGATGAAATAAAATTGTTGAAACTTGATTTGATTTGAAAGTCAAAGTTTGACTTTTCAGTGTACTTTTGACCATTTTGCCCTTATGGATGATTTCCTTGAAAAATTGCAGTTCAAGGCTTGGAATTGGATGGAAGCAAACTTGAGGATCCAGGGTGATTCCTTGAGAAATGAGAGGGAAAATTTTGGGGTACAACAATTGCCCTTATTCAATCTTCTTACACATGAAGAGT